GAGCAGCCCCTGCTGCTCGTGGCCTTCCTGGCTCTGTCAATATTTACCACCCCGTACCTGGCGCTGGCACCAGCTCTTCCCCTTCCAGTAAGGGGCAGGAGCAGGAGAAGGTTTCTGTAAGCACCTGTGAGGAAGGAGGGAGGTGCTGCCCATGGGGCAGTGGGTGGCTGTGGGGCTCTGGATTTGTACCAGTACCTTCCCAGGGCTGGGAAGTTGTGGGGAGGCAAGAACAGAGACCCCCCGGCACCCACTGGCACTGGGCTCTGTCCCTGCCGTGGCTGGGATGAGTGTGGTGAGCGATGCTGATGGTCACGGGATGTGAGAGTGAGCCTGGGGTGAGGAAATGGTGCTGGGGGAGTCAGGGAGAGCAGGGACAGCCCAGGGTGGGCAATCACCCGTGGGGGAGAGGCTGGGGGTAGCTGCAGGGGCTTTCTGGGGCAGGGAGATGCCCAAGGATCTCCTGACATCGCTCAGCCACATCCGTTCACCCATCTGCTCCCTCCCTCACTGCTGAAAACTTCATCTGGGCACATCCCTGGGCAGCTCTAGGGCAGATTGTACTGTGGCAGCAGCAGCAGAGGGATGGCTGGGCACCCCCAGTGCCACCACTGCCAGGATGAGTTCCCAAACCAGCTGCTGGTGCCCTTGGCAGGCACTGCTAGCACAAGTGGCTTCCGGAGCTTTCTAGGAATCAGCTCTTGCCCAAGCAGCACTGCTGTGTGGGGGAGGAAGCAGCCACCCCACGGGCTCCTCCCAGCCCTCAGGGGGCTCAGGCCGTGGTGTGGGAGCACTGGGGGTGCTGGTTTCCAGCCCTGCTGGGCCATACCAGCAGCCACAGCCCATTCCCCAGTGCCCCATCTCTCTGTCCCCACGTCCTGGCCACTCCACATCCCACCCCCACACACAGGCAGGAGTCAGAGGGACAGTCAGACAGAGCAAAAATAGAGTTTATTTCTATTTTTATCACATACAAAAATACTAGCGGGTGTTTCTCGGGGCTCACCCAGCTGTAGCAATAAATACAGTACAAAACCCACTGCTCCCACACCCACAGCCCCCACAGAGCCACGGGACTGGGGCTGTGATGGGCTCAGGGGGATGGGGCAGTGTCCAAGCGGCTCCTCCCAGCTAAGGAGATGGGCACAAATAAGTTAAACTGCAATAAATACTGCAAATTAAGCATGGAAAGGGGATAGAGCAGAGCCACAGCCCCCAAAGTGCTGGGGCTTCTCAGAAAAACTTCATCCTGGGGAGCCTCTGCATCCTGACAGCTCCTCTGTCCTCCTCTCCCTCCCTAATGGCTAATAAATATTAATTACTAGAAATAACACCTGTCAGATGTGTCCCTGCAGGCTGCAGCCCAGGCAGGGAGATGCTGCTCTGGAGCATCCTCATCCTCGGATGAAGACAGTTTCCCATGGGATGCTGTAATGGTCCCTGCAGCAGGAACCACGGGGAAACTGAGGCACAGGCAGTGCCAGCAGCTGCTGTGGGGGCTCAGCCCAGCTCCCCAACCTCATAGCAGAGATACTCTTGTGTTTAAATATTAAACAAGGGTGATGCTGCACAGACATCGTGCACAGATCCACCGTGGGGTCCCCCTGGCTGCCCTGCCTGGGGCCACGGTCAGGGGGATCCCAGGAGAGATGAATATTAAATAGCATAAATATTAAATAAGCAGAAATTGGCACACTCCTGGGCTGTCCCTCGGGTGGGACAGCCACGGGTGGGCTCAGAGCCGGGCCAGGTGCCGCAGTGCCCGGTATGCTGTCTCCAGGAACCGCTGGAAGTTGGCCAGGATGAAGAACCCTCCGACTTGGTGGTGGAAGTGGGAGGAGAAGGTGGGGAGAGGGTCCTGGGGCTCCGAGGGGTATGTCACCGTAGCCAGGCCCAGGTCCTCCATCTGTAGCAGGGCAGAGGGAGAGGAATCAGCTCCAGGCCCAGAGATGCTCCAGTCCCAGAGACACCCCAGGAGTGCAGCAACATTCCAGGGATGCAGAGCCTCTTGTCCCTGCTGGGCCCTCCCTGTTCCCCAGGAATGTAGCCCCCCTGCCCCTGTGTGCACTTCCTAGGAATGCAGACCCCACCATGCCAACCCATCCCTGGGGATGGAGCACCCACCATGCCCACCCATCCCTGGGGGATGCAGCCCCTGCCATACCCTCCTATCCCCCCCAAATTCCTCATCTCCCCTCCCTTACCTGCTGCTGGATGTTGGAGCTCAGGTTAGCCATGTCCAGCTGCAGAGTCTCCACCAGCCCAGCGTGCCCAGGCAGCAGGTCCTTCACGGATGCCAGGGAGATGTGGTAGGCACTGAGCCCAGCACGGATCTGGCTGAAGCAGGTCTCCTGTGGGGGGCACAGTGTGGTCAGCAGGGCCACTGAGCCATGGGGGGGTTTGGGGTGCCCCAAGCCATGGCAGAGCCAGCTGGGCTGAGACTGGCAGCTCGTGGCAGGGATGGGCTGAGACTGGCAGCTCATGACAGCACTGGGCTGAGACTGGCAGCTCGTGACAGGGATGGGCTGAGACTGGCAGCTCGTGGCAGGGCTGGGCACTCACTGCCTGGAAGGAACGGCTGTGACACTGCTCCAGAGGTGCCTGCACCACGTCCAGGTCCTGTCGCACCAGCAGCAGCTCATCCTCCTTGCACAGCTGGAAAGTGTCACACTGCAAGAGAAGGGGACAGGGTCAGGGTGGCTGGAGGACCCCAACACACCATTCCTGGCGTGTGAGACCCTCCCCAGCCAAGCCAGGAGGAGGGAGGGGACGGGATGGACATGAGAAGGTGACAGCAGTGTGCCTGTCCTGGCTGGTGTGTGACCCCCAGGACCCCAGGGCTGAGCTGTGCCAGGCCAAGGCGCAGTGGGCACTGCTGGCTCCTGGCCCTGCGGTGGTGATAAGACCAGGGAGGGGAAGGTCACCACCTTATCTGTGCCTCCACGGTGAGCAGTGACCCCCTGACTGCTCAGGACTCACCACCACGTGCTGCAGCGCGGCCACGTCCCCGCGGACCTTGCGGGTGAACTCGAGGTTCCTGTGCAGGAAGAGCTGGA